GGGGGGGGTGCGGGGGCGGGGGGGGGGGGGGCAGGGAAAGGAGAGGGCTTAATTAGATTTCCCACTCAGCAGTGAGCTTATTGATCCAGCAATGTATGCTGCCGTGATGGGGGGTCCCATTAAGAAGCAGAGCACACTTAATGATTGTATCTCAGCCTATAGTGTCATTGATATCTATGTATGTCTATGTGTGTATCTGTGAGTGTGTCTGTCTATTTGTCTTTGTGTCTGTTTGTCTGTCTGTGTGTGTATCTGTGTGTCTGTCTGTCTGTTTGTGTGAATGTGTCTGTGTAAGTGTGTCTGTGTGTCTTTCTGATTGTCTGTGTGTCTGTCTGTGTGTGTTTGTGTGTGTCTATCTGTGTGTGTGTCTGTGTGTCTTTCTGATTGTCTGTGTGTGGTGTGTGTGTGTCTGTGTGTCTTTCTGATTGTCTGTGTGTGGTGTGTGTGTTTATGTCTTTCTGATTGTCTGTGTGCATAGATCCTGTACACTATCCTTTGCACTTCTCACACCATCCTCCAAACAAACTTAAGAGCTTGAGCAGCTTGAGTCTAAGCTGTGGACAGCAGTAGCAGGGAAGGTCAGGATGACAAGCGCCTTCTCAAGGCTGGCAGCCCCCCCTGGATGATCCTGTGGGGGAAGGGGGGCAGGAATCACATCACCATTGCTCACAGACGCACGCTGCCTGACTGAGACAGGCTCCCATCTGGGCCGACGTGAGGCTGGCGGACCTGGGCCCAGCACAGCACCAGCAGAGTGTCAGTTCCATCCCCCAGGGATACACTCAGAATGGGGTGGGGGGGGGGGTTGAGCTGTCAAACCCCACCCTCACATTCCCCAGTCTATGAGTATCTTACCGCTCACAGGCTGTCTCAAAAAATCAGGAGTATCTAGGGGAGAGACGCTGTGCAGAAAGATGGAGATAGGAAATACAGATGGCCTGAGCCTGACAGCAGGAAGCACAGGGGGGCCTGAGCCTGACAGCAGGAAGCACAGGGGGGCCTGAGCCTGACAGCAGGAAGCACAGGGGGGCCTGAGCCTGACAGCAGGAAGTGCAAGCAGGCCTGAGCCTGACAGCAGGAAATGCAGGCGGGCCTGAACCTGACAGCAGGAAGTGCAGGCAGGACTGAACCTGACAGCAGGAAGTGCAGGCAGGACTGAGCCTGACAGCAGGAAATACAGGCGGGCTTAAACTTGACAGCAGGAAGCAGAAGTGGGCCTAAGCCTGACAGCAGGAAGCAAATGCAGGCCTAAACCTGACAGCAGGAAGCACAGGCAGGCTTGAACCTGACAGCAGGAAGTGCAGGCGGGCCTGAGCCTGACAGCAGAAAGCACATGTGCTCTCTTGCTATTCCTCTGTCATCCCTCCATTAATTCATCCCCCCCCCAGCATTCCTACTCCACCATGCCGCTTTTCCTAGACTTTCCACTCCATCAACAGAGTGACAGAGTGACACGCACATGTGTGCCTGGAGTATTTCGCAGTACTGGAAACAAATTCAGCTGAACAAAGGTTCCCTTCACGAGCTGCCCTCAGGCCGCGTGCTGAGGGGCAGGCTGCTTCTGGCACAGCAAAGCATTTTTCTGTCTGAACACAGGGGAGGCCCTCCTTTACTAGTAATATAATCTCAAATTAATGCAGTCAGACAATCAATCACTCTCCAGAAATTTAAAAAAAACAATGCTAAAAATGGAACAGGACCTCTTGCAGTTTCCACTGGGCCATGGAATCTGTCAACCGGGCAGTCCTGCCTGGATCCCCACTGTTGAATGGACAGGCAGCACCATATCAACACTGCTTATTCACCCGCAGCTCTTGAGCCTGCCTAGCAACGGGGGCCAACTGCAAACAGGCTGAACGCCATTCAGGATCAAGACATATGATTGGTTGGTCCTGCCTCCACTAGTTGCTTGGACCCACCTCCTCTACAGTATGATTGGGAATCTCTCTGAACCAATCATTTTTCTTTCTGCCCTCAGAACATTTTTGTGTAAATTGTGTAACTCCTATGAGTGTGCCCTTGCGATGGGCATAGCCATGCAATGGGCCTGGCATTGTGGTGGGTGTGGCTATGCGATGGGCATGCCCATGCTGTAGGTGTGGCCTTCTGGTTGCCGTGTTCACTTTCCTTACATTAGAGAAGGAACCCCAGAGCTGGTCTGGAATACATGCAGCTTGAAATGAATTGGATTCATCTGCACTAATTAAAGTTCCTCGTTAATCCATCTTTAAAAATGCTTCCAGTAAACGCTGAGCTTGTGGCTGAAATCTGCATCCCTGTAAATGGTACAAGGACCAGCACACTGTGCAGCCAGATCAGCGCTTTCTGACTGCTATCCTGAGATGTGTTTCTGTAACTTTTCCTTACAAACCCTTCCAACGAAAAGTGGCTTCACTGGGGCTGGGGGGGTGACTCCGTTCCCATCTGAACTTCTGATAGTAGATCCTGAAGCATGGAGCTGCCACACATCGGATATGAGAGCGGGGGCAGCACAGGTTGATGCCCTCTACAGGACGCTCTGTACCCACAGTTTAGGGGATGATGTCATCCATGAGCTGATGTTTTGCCTAGCGCCAGGGTGCTGGGAGCTTTAATAGATGACATCACCGGGCGCCAATTAAAGTGATGGAGAGACCCAGCCCCCCTTACTGCATGGGAGGGGACAGCAAGGGGAGATTAGAATAGAAGGATGATGGAGGCCAGAGCATGACTCAGCCTGCAGTTGTCAGACCCCTCTGCCCGGGTACTTGCCATCAGACCACTCTGCCCGGATATCTGCTGTCAGACCCCTCTGCCCGGGTATCTGCTGTCAGGCCACTCTGCCCGGGTATCTGCTGTCAGACCCCTCTGCCCGGGTATCTGCTGTCAGGCCTCTCTGCCCAGATACCTGCCATCAGACCCCTCTGCCCAGGTACCTGCCATCAGACTCCTCTGCCTGGGTACCTGCCATCAGGCAACTCTGGACAAGTACCTACCATCAGACCCCTCTGCCTAAGGTCCTTCCCTGGTACCTGCCATCAGACCCCTCTGCCCGAGGTCCTTCCCTGATACCTGCCATCAGACCCCTCTGCCCGAGGTCCTTCCCCAGTACCTGCCATCAGACCCCTCTGCCCGAGGTCCTTCCCTGATACCTGCCATCAGACCCCTCTGCCTGAGGTCCTTCCCTGGTACCTGCCATCAGACCCCTCTGCCCGAGGTCCTTCCCTGATACCTGCCATCAGACCCCTCTGCCCGAGGTCCTTCCCTGGTACCTGCCATCAGACCCCTCTGCCCGAGGTCCTTCCCTG